ATTCAGATATTAATAAGTGTGTGTGTGTGTGTGTGTGTGTGTGTGTGTGTGTGTGTGTGTGTGTGTGTGTGTGTGTGCTATTTAATGAACAAAGACCTGGAGGTAATCAATTGGTTTTGTGGTATTCTCCTGTCACGAGGAAATCTTGATGAATACATTTAAAAGCAATAAATAGAAAATCCTTTCTTGGTTTTTACCTACGCCTCAAGTGTTATTAACGCCGTGATTATCCATCATTAGTTTACCCAATTTCACTTTTAGATTTTAAAGTCCCCTCAAGTCAAAAAGTGGCCCATCTGCCTAACAGATACTGCTTTTTTTAATGTCATGTAAGCCGGATCTGTGTCATCAATTTTCTGAAGGTCATCAGATAGATATGTGCACATGGTTCTCAAATCCCAGCTTGCGATACGAAGAGATGGATTCTTCGTTTTTTTTTCCATTTTGCTGATTGTTTGGTGCATAGTTATCGATCTGCTTGTTAAACTAGCATCTATAAGTTTCAGAAACCCACTGAAGCAGACAGACTGTGTCGGGTCAACATCCTACTCTCCAGGGGCTGCCCGGCCTGAGGTGGACGATAGTTGACCAATGGGATAAAATGACCCATCCACCGTCAAAACAACCCGTTGTGTCCAACTCCACGCCAGTTAACTTTTAACCAATAAAATTCTGTCTCCCGTGTTGTTCCCTCACCGGCTTGTGAGTTTTCAGTGACCTCTCCAGGGCATACGCCTAGGTGATGGAATATGGAGGTCTTGCGCTGCCCAGACCACAGGCACTCCCACTTGGCCGTTCCGACAAGATCCAAAGGAATACAGAACATTACATTTGGCACTGGGCTGACTATCTCCATCTACTCGAATTATCTGCTTATGAGGCGCCAGAGGCCCACCTTTGCTTCTTCTCCGGTTTGGAGTTGGTCTTATTTGTCAGAGGTGATTTGAAACACATGCCATGCCATGAGAGCATTTTATAGACAGTGAGAGCTTGTCCCCACTACTACTTCCGGCTATGACAACTTGTGGAATATATATAATTCTGTACATTAATGAATAACAATTACAGTACATTTATACACACACACCACCAACAACAAGAACAACAACAATGAAACTAAATGTATGTTCTGACAATTTAATGATTTCATACCCGCATGCAGGAAACATTACTACAAAGTACGTATGTAAAATTTATACCAATCTTGCTACAAATCTTGGTGAAAGTCGTAAACAGACTTTTTGGTGCCACTGTAATGAAATAGGAAACAAACGATTATCAATAAAAAAAAAATCAAACATTTGTCACCAAAAATGAATTAATAAATACGAATTGAAAATATGGATTATTAAATTGCAGAAGATTAAAACGTCTATAATAATAACATTATTAATAATGACAAGATGACAAACATCCTTTAAAAATCAACACAATAAAGCTAAAGTCAGAAATAAAATTTAAACATGAAATTGGTTTTTGATTTACTTTTCGGAATTTAGAAAAAATAAAATGTTCACATGGGTTGGCTTAAGGATGCGCAGCTATTGCAACGAATATCAGCACAGAAAGTAAAATCAGCGAGTTCAAATTCTGGTATAGTCGGTTGCATTTAATTACGAAAAAAAGTCTTTAGGAATGGCGTGAATCCGCCTCTTCTATACTATGAGTTAAATAACGCAGTAGACATGACTCTATCTTGACGTTGTAACAAATCTAAGAGAAAGACAACTCACAATTTTAAACCATGGAAAAGGCAACGGGAAACAGTCTCACTATCTTTCCAAAGATAATAATTCGTAGATAATAAAGATTGATTGATTGATTTGATTGTTTAACGGCATATCAACTCCTTATGGATGATTTAATGCTGAAATTTAATTTTCTGTGGAGCTTTGAAGTAATAAAAATATGATATATGTTATTCTGCTTCCACAATTGAATACATGGTAGATAATACTCAGCTTTCGTGTATCTACATGTTTGCATAAAGATGGTTAATAGAGGCGGTGATATGTGTCTTTTAGTTTTGTTGAAGTTATATTTTGGAATACAGTTTGTTTTATATGCAATTGTAGAATATTATATGGATTAAAATCATGAAAGAACTTTTTTCATGTTGGTTGGTTGTCTGGTTAATTTTGTTTAGCAGTATTTCAACCTATATTGGTTATTTAATGCCGAAATGTAAATATTTTGAATACAGTTTTATGGCTTCAAGTAAATACATTTTGAACGTAATTATATGCCTTTAACTACAGATAATATGCATTATTGGTAATTTTACTGTAATTAAGTATTTTTGGTAATTTTTTATATAAAATCTATTGCTGGTATACTTACTATAAAAAGGTATTTTTATACTTTAATAGTGTTTTGTTTTTGTTTGATGGTTTACTATTTTCCCATAGCTAGGACCCTAACAGGTGCTACCACTACGGGTGAGGGTGGACTTGGGAACGACAGCAATTAAGAGATGGTTCCACGATCCTCAAAACTTCCACTCTCCAGATGTGAGGTCTTGTTGCCGTATATAGTTTATCTGATAATTTCTCAAATATACGTATCATACATTACTTAAGTACTGAAATTTAATTGAAGCTTTTTGAAAAATCGCATATGCTTTCCGATTCTTCTTCTTTATTATCTAGTCTTCTGTATGACAATAAACTACGTCTGGCATATATATATATATATATATATATATATATATATATATATATATATATATATATATATATACGGCTTTACCCCACAGGTGAGATAGACAATTATCTCTAGAGCTCGAACTCCTGGAAACTTTAGAGACAGATGTGACCTCTGCAACATGCCCAGATACATTCATTCTCTTCATTTTCCTTCTCTTTCCAACTCACTATTTCCCTTTCTTTCCTAACAGCCCTACTTCCACTTCTGATTTCTTATATCTTTACTTCTCTTTTTTTCTCGTTTCCTGTGAGATGACCTATTAAATAGGTCAATGTCTGGTACTTAACCCCTTCCTCACTATTAAGTGTTGTAATAAAAAATAAATTTAAAATCATTCCTATCTCTCCCTTCCTTCTCTAATTTCGACTATGTCTGTCACACTCTCTCTTCCCACTCTCTATATCCCTTTACATCAACTTAAAACTACCCCTCAAAAGTGTATAAAAACTATATGTAAATTTAAATTCCTTTTTTTTTTTATAAATAATAAAGAAGGTTTGGAGAAGTTAAAACTCAGACGGCATACTGAAAGCAAGAGAAAGATCGAGCAAAACTTAACAAATTTGAATAAATCGATGGCAGAACAAAGTCGACAAACGTGTCTGCGCGTGTTTGTGGGTGGAGCAAAGGGATAAGAGTTACTTAGAGTAAAACAAGAGACGGGAAATTGCAGAGAACTATTATCGCCCACGTTCTGAAAGAACATGGCATACAAAAGAAGAAACGTTGTGTTAGACTAAACCTCTCTCTCTCTCTCTCTCTCTCTCTCTCTCTCTTTGTAGACAGTGACTATTGCAGTTACTAATGCAATACTCTTCAGTAAAACCAATCGAGTTCTCTCAGTCACTGGCGTGTTTATCTAAAAATAAATACGTTTAAATTCACCTTCATCCCTGCAAAGCGCAAAAGGCCTAGGGTTAGATTAGACTCACGCCAAGTCAGCCGGGTTTCGATCCTAGCTAGAGACAACCAGACCTCTATTCACACTGATGAGCTGTGATACAGCGAAACAGTCTGTCTGTGGATGAATATATATATATATATATATATATATATATATATATATTAAGAAAGAGAAAGAAAGTTCTTAGCATTTAATTTTTTTTTTTAAGTTCTCAGTACAACGTGGAGCAAAATATTATTAAAATATTTATATTATAATAGATTACAATAAAAACATTTTACATCGCTACACAAAAACTTTCATGTTTCGGAACTTTAATCATTCCTCTTCGGGCGATGGTAGATAACTTATGCTAAAAATAATTTATTTGGGAAATTTCAAAACAAATCGGTACCTCTTTCGAAAGTTAATAGAGGAGTGGGGGAAACCTAATGTCAAAATAAACAAATTATATGTTATCAACCATCGCCCAAAGAGGAACGATTATAGTTCCGAAACATGAAAGTTTTTGTTGTAACGATGTAAAATGTTTTATTGTAATCTACATAATAATTAATATATTTTAATAATAAAATTATATATATATATATATATATATATATATATATATATATATATATATATATATATATATATATATGGGATAACAATATATTAATTTTTATATATCAAGAACAGTTTTGGAGGAAAGATGTATGACAAAAGTGGAAAGAGTTTTCGTGTGGCGCGTTTCGTCCCTTAGACCTTCAGCGGACAAGGTTTATTTGCGATGATGCAACATCACATAAGCATGAACGATAGGGGCTGGGAATTTTCATTTCTGAAAATATTTTTTGAAAATAAGTTTTTTTTCAAGAATATTTTCAAAATTTTGTCATATATTATATAATTTAATAGCTACCCTCTCTCTCTCTCTCTCACTCACTCTCTCTCTCTTTCTATATATATATATATATATATATATATATAGTCAAAGAAAACAATTAGTGCAGACTTTTAATTTTTGAGTATGAACATTTCATTTTTAGCGTTTCTAAAAAAATTATGAATATTACTTTATACTTGAACTTTTAGTTTATTTGTTTAGTAAATAAAATATATTTAAATATTAATAAAATTAACTGCTTTTTATTTCGCTCTCTGTACATCTTTTTTAATTTTCACTTAAAACTTTATAATTACTTTCTTTTTTTCATATTTCATGCTTGACAGGACTACCGAACTAAGTTAAAAAAATCCCATCTGCACATCACCCAGTTTATCCGCGAAACTTATCATTATTGGAAGGCTAGGCGATCAGTCTTGTACATGTAAACTCTGCAATCACCTCCAGTTATATAATTTTCTGCAAAGGAATACACATTTATGAGCGGACTTATCGACTAACAAGATGAGTCGCAAAGCTGTACACCACCATTATGCTTCGGCCTCCAAAAACGATCCTGACAATGTTACCGCTCTTCACAGTAGCAGTGGGAGCAACGCGAGTACAGAGAGTAGTGAGGACGAGATGGACATTAAATGGAGTGACCGCGGATACACGATGTCCGAAATTGTAGATCAGTTCAGCCTTCCACTGATTGTCCGCTGTGCAACAAATGGACGAACCCCTCGAACCAGCCTCCCAATTCCGTTCAACATTTCACAAGAACACCTTTTACTTTTCTCGGTTAGAGAAGTCCGGCATTTAATAGCTACCAATATTAACGACGCCACTGGTCACAACGTGGGCGCAGAAACTCTTCACAATGATGTGACCATCCCAGAAGATTTTGATGGTAAGTGATTTTTTTTTCAAAAATTTAGTTGAAAGTTTTGGCCAAGTGAGATAGCCAGCTACTCATAGCATTTTTAATCTTTTCGTCTCCAAAAACATATATATATATATATATATATATATATATATATATATATATATATATATATATATATATATATGTGTGTGTGTGTGCAGGCGCAAATATATAGAAAAAGTGGAAAGTTAGGTTAATAATCCGAAGTTCATTAGTATTTTTGTTTTTATTTTAAAAAAACAGTGGTCAATACATAAGTAGAGCCAAAATTATAATTATTTTAAAATTTTTTATAATTATTTAAAAAAAATGAAACCATCGCGATGGAATCATATTTTTTAAAATAATATATATATATATATATATATATATATATATATATATATATATATAAATATATATATATATATATATAAATATACAGTGACACGCATAAGTATTGGATACATGTTATTTTCTGTTATATAGTTTAATGTTCGCAATTTTGCCTGATATTTGGTAAGTAATGTCTCGTAAAGTTGTTTTAGTTGTATGTAGAATGAAAATTAAAAACTCATGCTTGAATCCATTTTTTTTTATCAAAGTTCAAAATTACCCTATGCAAAAGTATTGGATACATCAATTTAATATTTTGTTGTGTAGCCTCTGTTTTGTTTCACTGCTTCCAGTCACTTTCTATAGTTGGCCACAAGTTTTACACACTGATCCACCGTTACTTTACTTTACCCCATTCTTCCTTGCATAATTCCTCTAATTGCTTGATATTTTGTGGATTCCGCTTATGAACTTTAACCTTTAAAGTATTCCACAAATTCTCAATTGGATTCAAGTCAGGAGACTGACTTGGCCAATTCAGAGTATTAAATACCATTATTTTCAAACCATTCCTTTAAAAGTTTTGCGGTATGTTTGGGATCATTGTCGTGTTGAAGCACGAAATTCCGACCATGTCCTAAAGAAGTTCCAGATTTCTGAAGGTTCTTCTCTAGAATCTCCCTGTAAATGCTACCATTCATTCTACCATGGATAACTTGTAACTCACCAGTGCCCTTGGATGAAAAGCATACCCATATCATAATGGAAGCATCCCTAAACTTAACTGTGGGGATGGTATTGTGCTTGTTGAAGGCAGTGACATTTTTTCGCCAAACACTTGTCGCTGTGTTCCTTCCGAATAGTTCAACTTTCGTTTCATCCGACCAGATTACCTTTTCCAAAAACTGCATATCTTTCTTTTCATAAATTTCGACAAACTTTAATCGGTCTTTGAAATGTTTGGTTTTCAGTAAAGGCACTTTTCTTGGTGATCTTGAATGAAAGCCTGTACGATATAGAGCTCTGCTAATGGTATCCTTACTTACATTAATTCCAGCACCCCCAAGATCTGTTTTAATTTCAGAACGAGTAATGAAGGGTTTTTTTTTTTTTTGCACATTTCTGCTGATCCACCTTGAAGTACTCTCTTTTATTTTTCTCGGTCTTCCATTTCTTGGAAGGTTTGCTGTACCGTCGCCATACTTCTTATACTTTCTGATGATATTTCCTACTGTACTTAGTGCTAGATTCATTTCTTTGCTAATTTTTTGGTAACCTTGTCCTCCTTTGTGACATTCGCATATCTCTGGATAATTCTTTAGTTTTGCCATTTTTAATCCTTGAATTGCAGAATGCACATCAAAGAGTCAGATGATTAGTAGTACTATCTTGTAAACAATTGTGTGCTTCTCTGATTGGTCAGAGATAACATTCCAATACTATCGAAAATTTGAATATTTAAAGTCTTTTTTAATACAAAGTTTCGATTGAAAATTTGAAAAAGTGTCTTGTATCCAATACTTTTGCATAGGGTAATTTTGAACTTTGATAAAAAAAAAAAAAAATGGATTCAACCATGAGTTTTTAATTTTCCTTCCACATACAACTAAAACAACTTTACGAGCTATTACTTACCAAATATCAGGAAAAATGGTGAACATAAACTAGAGTTATAACAGAAAATAACATGTATCCAATACTTATGCGTGTCACTGTATATAACAAAGACTGGTACCCACAGAAGAATAAAATAGAATGGGTGTCATTATTTTTTTTACCTTGACAGGACACTTTCGGCCAACATTTTCTCAAAAGGTACGCGTTGGCGAGCAGCAGGAAACAATCAAAGACACATTAGTAAATAGTGAACTAGGAAGGAAAATTGGAACACGATTAAAAGATGGATTTTAATTATGAATAAATTAACGACTAAAAACAAAATACGAAGTTCCAAAAAGAGTATAAAATGGGAAAACGTTACTCATATTCCCTCAATAAATCGTAAGGAACGAATAAAGTCTTCCCTTTGTTTACATAGACTCGGCTGATGAGACTTAATATAAACAGCCTCAAGAACTCGGAGATGGTGAACCGAATGCGCACTATGTAAAATGGAAAAAAAAATCATTATAATCGGCGGCACAATCTGGATTGTCCAGTAAATGCTGACCAATGGAGGAGTCATGCACCGCTTGAGTGATTCTTTTAACACGAATCTGACTACCAGAACGCAAATAGGCAGTCACGTGTTGCGTAATACGCGTTTACACCCTTTGATTCGTCCGTCCTATATACACTGCATCACAATGGCATTTATTGAACTATTCTGAAAATAGGACAACCGATCCTTGCTGCAGGATGAAAACGCAGATATCGTCTGAAAAACAGTACGCAACTTGATAGCGTTGTAGCACGAAGCAACACGAGCCAAAATCCTGTCAGCAAGCAACTGGAATTTTCTGCCTAATCATGGCAACTTCAGGTAAATTGGTTCACCGGCTAGGTCCTTAGAACCACTGGCCCTTTAAACCGTCTAATTTTACGTCTATCAAAAACGCGTCTAATGACATTAATGGGATAACCATTACCTTAAAAAAGATTTTAGGTCTTTGCAAGTTCTCCGTTTAACAAGTTAGAAGAAAAAAATCATTAAAGCACGATGAGACAGGCTGGAAATTAAACCAATTTTGCGGGCCTTAGGAACAAAAGATTTCCAACTTGTGTACAAGCCTAGGTTTACGAAAAATACTGGTGGCACAAGCACTATCCTTACGTTCTATGAGAACATCTAGAACGAGCAAAGTACCATTGCTCTTAACTTCCAGAGTAAATTGAATTGATTGATTGAGGGTATTAAGTTCAGTGGCGCCTCCAGCAGAATTAAAAATAGAAAATTTATCATCAACGTACTGTATATAAACACAGGGTTTACGGAACTCATCAATCAAAAGTCCCTCATGAAAACCTAAAAATATTAACTAGTATGGGACCCAAAGGACTACCCATCGCAATACCATCTGTCTGGACATACACAATATCGTTGAAACTAAACTCAACACCTTCAGACGCCAGACGCATACATTCCAAAAACAAGTTTTCAGGAATGCTAGCCGGACTCCAATTACCTCAGTAAAAAGTACCAGGACATATATTAATGGTCTCTTGAAAAGGTACATTGGTATACAGGTGATGTCAAATGACACTATCAGCTTATTTTCCGAATCAACTTCCAAATTTCTAATGAAATTTGAAAACCAGAAAGAATCAGAGATGTTATGTGCTGAAAAAAGATCAGATACCGGCTGGTGCAGTTCAGCCAACCATTTGGCCAATTTATGCTGCACAGATCCTACCATAGATAAAAAAAAAAGGTCTAAGTGGTACACCAGTCTTATGCACCTTTGGTATTCCATATATTCTGGGCCGTTAATAACCGACATGCTTAACACTATCATAAACATCCTGGGAGATTATGTTGTTTTTGTACACTGAAGGAAACCATCTCTGTGTTTTTGCTTTAGCCTTACTAGTTTAAGTGGATTGGTCCTGCTAGTACGTGTGATGTTTATCACACGTACGAGCAGGACCAATTCACTTAAACTTGGGAGGAATCATTCAAAATAACAGCCATCTTATCAATATAATCTTCACTGTTTAAGATGACAACTAATTACTAATGTGTCTTTGATTGTTTCCTGCTACTCGCCAACGTTCACGTTTTGAGAAAATGTTGGGCGAAAGGGTCCCCTCAAGGTAAAAAAAAAATAATGAAGACCATTCTCTCTCTCTCTCTCTTTATATATATATATATATATATATATATATATGTGTGTGTGTGTGTGTGTGTGTGTGTGTGTGTGTGCAAGTATATATATAAAGATATATATATATATAAATATATATATATAAATATATATATTTAAATATATATATATATATATATATATATATATATATATATATATATATATATATATATATATATATAAAAAAAAGGTTAAACACTAATATTACATGGTCATAATTTATTCCATTGGAATCGTAAATACGATCCAATTCATCAGACCTACAAATTCAAAAAGAAAACAGAAAAAACAACTCCGGAAATAAAAGCAGAATTTAGAGAGAGTGTAAGTATGAGGGTGTGGGACGAATGTTAGAGCTAAAGAGAGGGGTAACATATTTACCACTAATATTATATATATATATATATATATATATATATATATATATATATATGGTTTAGAGAGAAAAAGTAATGAACAGACACTGCATAGTGATTGTCAGTTTAACGTCTCAAGTGATTTTGAGACAATGTGTAACTACCACCTTTCCGCTCTTTTGTTTAACCTTAATTCTTTGAATTACTTATGGCCGTGACCTTTACTTTGCTCATTTTATTTATTTATTCATTTATTTATTCATTTATTTATTTGCCTTGTTTATTTTATTCGGCTCTAAATTTTAATATTTGAAATAAAATTTATTAGAGCTTTAAGTTATGGGGTTTTATTTCGTCTTTTGAGTAATAATTTGGTTGCAGGTAACGTAGTAGGAATTTATTTTTGTGTCTGCATTTTGAAATTAGCTTTGTAGTTTGGGTTTAAGAGTTTATCATCTGGGACAGCTGATTATCGCTATTTTCTCCTCTAGGAAAAAAATATTTTATG